AGATTTGAAAAATATTAATTAGAACCGGAGATATTCAATTTTTTCAAAAAATTCAAAAATCAAAAATTTTTTAAATTTTACATTTTTTTAAAAAATGCTTTCAAACTTTCTATAATTGAGTATAGCATGTTATTTAGTCACATTTTAGCAAAAAAATATATTATTAGTATTTAAATATATTATCAGTATTTTTTCAAAAATACTGTCATATAATTAAAATGTAAGTATAAAAATTAATGATTTCGAAAAATTTAAAAAATCGCAAATTTCTAAATTTTATATTTCCTAATGGACTGCTTTTAAACTCTCTATAATTAAGTATTACATGTTATTTAGTCAAATTTTAGCATAATTTTTTCAAAAATACTGTCCTATAACTAAAATGTAAGTATAAAAATTAATGATTTCGAAAAATTTAAAAAATCGCAAATTTCTAAATTTTATATTTCCTAATGGACTGCTTTTAAACTCTCTATAATTAAGTATTACATGTTATTTAGTCAAATTTTAGCATAATTTTTTCAAAAATACTGTCCTATAACTAAAATGTAAGTATAAAAATTAATGATTTCGAAAAATTTAAAAAATCGCAAATTTCTAAATTCTATATTTCCTAATGGACTGCTTTTAAACTATCTATAATTAAGTATTACATGTTACTTATTCACATTTTAGCATAATTTTGCACAAAAAAAATCCCATGACTAAAATGTAAGAATAAAAATATTTTCGATATCAAAAAATGGAAAAAATTATAATTGTTATTAATTACTATCAAGCTTAAGTCAGTAATATTTTTGGGGTCTCTGACTAAGATTTTGATGTCAAAATAATGCAGTTCATAATTATTTATCCAATTCATTCTAATAAAAAATTACGTTATTTTACTTTTAGATTAAACTTATAAAAGATGTTTTGAGCAATGTAAAGACAAAAGTTAAGCAGGGTCTCTATGTTTGTTTAAAAAACTTCCCGGCGGTGTCCAAATTTTACCCGGTTTTTTTTTTTAAACAAATTTAAATTTACTTGATTTTAAGTTTTAGCCATAAATAAATCTGCAGATGGCTGCAAAAATTGACTTATTTTATGAAAATACTCTTTTTTAAGAAATTATGTTATGTACCAGTCTTTGACGGGATTTAGTTTCTACCATAATAGATTTGACAGAGTGTCTACTAATTGCGCGGGGAAACCGATAAATAGCCGGGAATAATGAACTTATTCAAATAGTGATATTTTTCTAACAAAATAGTTCATGGTAACTAATTATTAATTTTTCCCAGTCAAATTTAATTCCCGGCTATTTCCCGGTTGGTAGACACCCTATAAAATGTATTACCAGAAACTAAAACCCGTCGAAGACGGGTCCGACAGCTAGTATATATAAATATTATGACAAATTTAAAATTTGATACTAGTCAAACTGACTGTAAATTTAATCAAAAATGAGAAAATATTTAAATATAAATTTCTTCAAAAACATGGGAAAAAGCAATTAATTCAAAATAAAATGAAACGCTGTTTAAAAAAAAATAATTTACATATTTAATACGTATCAAATATATCCAGTTTGAATTTGAGAAAAATCTAGTTTCAACAAGTTTAATTTGCATTCAGTCAAATCATATGTGAGTATACTACGCTACAATTGTTCTCTCTAACTTATAGATAATAAAATATTTGTATAACCTAATTAAGGCATATGTAATGTGTGTACTAACCCTATTATTAATATTTGTAATAATTTTATACTATGTAAATAATTCGATTATGGAACCAAAACAAATAACTCCTCTTTTTAATATGATTCGTTTCTCGTATCCCTTGGTAACGCCAAATTTTGTCAACTTCATGTTTTTATCACAATGTCAATAGCCATAATTAAAGATATAGTATTTTTATATTATTTATTTTTAGTACCTAAATATAAACTACTTAAAATTCTAATGTATAGTGGCCCATAATGGAGGAAGTGTTATAATTCATTTTAGATAATTTCAATTTTCGTTAAGTAATTGAAGTTAAAGTGTCAAAATCTGTGAACCAGGCCGAAAACCCTTATACAAGATTATATACACAAGAACTTATGCAAAAACAAGGCGCATGATTATTCCTCAAATGTCATTTGACCGAACTGCATTTAGCCGAACTGTTATTTTTACGAAATGTCAATTAATCGAATTAACATTTGTTCGAAAAAGCTCTTTGGTGAATTGTTATTTTCACGAAAACTATACTCATTTTTTAAAAATGTCAAACTTCCGAACCGCCATTCATGCAAATTGTCATTTTTGCGAATTGTCATTTGACCGAATCCCTTTTTTTTACGAATTTCCACTCTTGAAAAAGGTTATTTTTACGAATTGACATTTTGGCGAATTGCCAATTTGACAAATTTTCACTTTTTTCGAATTGTAATTTTTACCAAATGGCATTATTATGAATTGCCACTTTTACGAAAGATATAATTTTTACGAATCGTTATTGTTGCGAAATGTCATTTATCCGAATTGACATTTTAACGAAATGCCACTTTTGAGAATCGTCATTTTTACGAATTGTCACTTTTGCGAATCGTAATTTTTACGAAAATTGATACCGTAAATCTGTATGGGTATGGATACAAATTTACTATAGCATTTTTCGCAAAAGTGGCAATTCGTAAAAATGACAATTTGGAAAAATGATAATTCGTAAAAATGATCTTTTGCAAAAATGACAAGTCGTAATAATGACATTTCGTAAAAATGACAATTCGTAAAAGTGGAAATTCATAAAATTGCCAATTCACTAAAATGACATTTCACAAGAGTAAAAATTCACATAGGCTTCACATAAAGTGAATCTGGCCCTTTAAAATTATATTAAATAAATTCTCTACATTTTAAACTGTCTCATATGTGGAAACGCAGGGCATGCGTGCTGCCAGACTTACATTTCTGTAATGAAGAGTGAAGAAGGCATCTATCATACAAATTAAATTATATATTATAAAGAGTAATTTCGAAAAGGGCTCAACTTTGAAAATGGTTTTCAGAGTTGAGCCTCTTTCAAAATTTTATTTATGATTTTATATTTACTATATCCTTATATATATAATATATATGAGGTAGTTTTCATAAAATATAAGAATATTTTCAGGCAGAATTAGTGAATCGATACTATTAATATATAATGTATAATAAATATACATACTTTTTTAATTGAGAATTCAAATACTATTCTTGAATAAATTTATCACATTCCACATGTATATGAATGTTTAATAAAATTAAAATATTTACTCTTATAAAAATTTATTGAGCAGTTTTTATTTACTAAAAGATAACAAAATTATATAAATGTATATATTTAGAATATAATACAATATCTTTATTTGTTCAAGGAGAGCCATGAGAACAATTTTACAATGTATGACAGTAAAGCAAGATTCAATATTTCAATATTTTAATTAATTGCAAAATATAAATTAAGCCTTTAAAAATAAAAAAAATAAATAGGATCAATCAGTTTTTTTTTACAATTTTAGAAGAAATTAATATTTTCTAAAAACATTTTGTTATTGTCTGTCAATGTGTTATTTATTCACATCTTCTATAGTGAAGAACCCAAAGAATATTAGTAAATTACAAGTATAACATTTGTAAAAAAAATTTATAAAATTTATTTTAACAATATTCGGTAAATTTCACGTGTGAAGAAATGTATTGGAGAGAATTATTGGGTACCGAATTGGAGAAAATTATTCTAAAGTTATTCATCAATTTTATTTAATTACCTGGCAATGTTTATTATATCCGCCTAGTTCCTAGTATTACAAATATAAAAGTCAATATCTGATGTTCAGTAAAACAAATATAAATATAATAAATTAAATTGGGTCAAACCAGCTCAACTGTGTTAAAAAATTTCATTGATTTTCTAAAATGTTAAAACTTTTATGAAAATCTGTAGTTCACAACAAAACAAAACACTTTTTACCGTTTTTTGAAATTTGAAAATTTTTTTTTGCTTTAACAAAATATTACAACATTTTTTAAAAAAAATAATAACTCAAAAGCCGTTTACAATAAATTAATGACAATTACGATGTTTACACAATATTGTTCACTCTCTTCAATGAAAATAATTGCATGATTGTAAATTTAAAAATTTCGTATTTTTAATAACAATTTGAATTTTAAGTGTTTTACCCCTCCAATTGCAATTAAACTCATAGGAAGTGTACTAAAATTGACATTTTTAGGCATTTGTTAATTAATTATTGTTTAAATAATAAAAATGTCATCTTACAGAAAATGACCATAACATGTATTTATAATAGCTTTAGTTCATTAGTAAATAATATGAACTATAAAGAACTATTCATCTTCCAAATTGACATTTTTACGTACATTCCAAATTAAAGATACCAAATTTTTTTTTGGTGCTTCAAGAACAGATAAATAATTCAAATTGTTATTAAAAATATGGAATTTTTAAATTTACAATCATGCTATTATTTTCATTGAAAAGAGTGAACAATTTTGTGTAAACATTGTAAGTTTCATTAATTTATTGTAAACGTCTTTTGAGTTATTAATTTTTTTAAAAATGTAATATTTTGTTAATGCAAAAAAAATAACAAAAATTTCAAAAAACGGTTAAAAGTGTTTTTTGGTTTTGTTGTGAACTACAAATTTCATAAAAGTTTTAACATTTTAGAAAATCAATGGAATTTTTTTAACACAGTTGAGCTGGTCTGACCCAGGTGAAAGAAATTTAAATAAAAAAAAATTAGAGATAAGTGAAATAATGTGACAATCATCCATAAACTTGAAAAAAATAAAAGGGAGAAGTTTATAGTCAAAAATGAAAATAGAAACTCTTCTCCCTCCCAATTTGCAGAATCAACAAAATCTCGCGTCTTGTTTTATTTTCTTTTTTTTAAATAAACCACATTTTACAGCGATGTGAAGAAAAAACACCCTTTCGGGTAAAAAAGGAGAAATACTTTTAAGTAATAGTAGAAATTTATGTATTCTTGAAATATATGTACAAAATACTTTAAGAAAAATGTTTCTATCCACTTTTCTTTGGTCGTGAAAAAACTCGTGAACGTTTTTGTTTCTGTCGTGATGATTCTAATTGATGGATTTTCGAATAGAGATCCGCATATATTTCTTTTTGTTCTTCTTCTGGAATAGTTTTTCTGTAAATAGAGAAAAATGTATAAAAACTCTTTTTATTTCTACTTTTTTTATTACCTTAATCAGACAAGAAAATGCAAAATGTGATTGACAATACTTACCGGTACATTTTCATCAAATCATATTTCTCCCAAGGCTGAGCTGCATTCTTAAGTTTTCTCGTGCGATTTCTATTAAGAACAATTGATTCCGGCGTAATTCCTTTTAAACCCAGTAATTCATACTTCGATATCCATGGCGGAGGTAGGAGGGGAATTTGAATAGTATTCACTGGAACTTCCGTTCGACCGACAACAAATTCAGGTTCTAAATCAAATGGAAATGTGCTGTGTTCAAGTGCACAATCTCGAAGGTATAGTAACTGATCATCTAATCTCTTCTCCAATCTGAAAATATATTCAATAAATTAACAAGTTCCACAGCATTAACCCCTTTCTTTTTTTTAACAAAAGTAAATTACTTTAAACATTCCATTTTTTGAATACAAGGATCATAGAGATGGTAATCCATTTCCACTGGCTGACCGTCTACAACATTTCTAAGCAAAAATGAAGCTTTCAAACCACATCCTGCTCTGAAGATGCAAATGCCAACGAATCTGGTCAACTTTCCAGCAGCGTGAATGTCAGAATGCGTTACTGCCAAAATGGATCCTACATAAAACTCAGGAATATCTATTACTGTCCTCCTGGCTATCATATCGTTCCGTTCAAGTTGTTCCTTAATTGAATTTCTTCTTGATGCAAGTGGAAATGGTAAAAATTCTGGATATACGAATCGATATTGTGATGGGTGTGATTTTGATGATAAATCTACTTTCTTCTTTTGCTCTTCAATTTCTGACCAACTTGTATTCACATCTTTCCTATAATTCAATGATTCCTTAAACGCAAGTTCATCTTTCGTTGAGTGATCTATTTAAAAAAAACAAATTCAATAAATATTTAAAAAAGAAACATTCAATAAATATTCGAGTAGAAATATCCTTCTTCTACCCTCAACCAAATAATTTTTTTTACATTTCCATTGTAATTTAACCTCAGGAGTACAAAATAGTGTTATATTCAAAAAATGTGTGTATTACTTGAATTAGGTAGTAATCAAATTTAGCTAGAAAACAAAATTATAATTATAACCTATAATTCATTTTTTAATAGGATCGACTTTAACGAGCAAAAAAAGTCGAAAAAGTTGTTTTTATTTAATTCAGTTTTGTCTCAAAAATTTTATTTTGTATATCCCTGATTCTTCACTGATTTCTAAATTCAATTAATTAAAACTTGAATAATTTTATTGAATAAATATTTAAATACTTCTTATTTCTTTTTTCATAGGAAATAAAATTAAAAAAATTTCAACTTCTGAAATTTAATAATTACTAAAAATTACAACTATAACCCATCCAAAATTCAATTATTTTCTACAATTTTTAAGGGGGTCACACCGTGTGATGGGTTCAAAAAATCGAAAAAATTTTTTTTTCATAAATCACATCTACAATATGTATAGAATATGTGGGTAAACAGAATTTTTTATTTTTGATATCCTAAGAAAGTTACAGCACTAAGAAGACAAGGAGTTGCCAAGCGAACAATGTATTACTTAAGCTTTGATAGGCGTTTTTCTCAAAACTGTGTTTTTCAAACTGGCGTCCATGATATCTCGAAAACGGCTTGACCAATATCGCACAAATTTTTAGGGCGTGTTCAGCACATATGTGGCTATCGGCCGAACTAGGATAATTGAAAAAGGTCAACTTGTTTCTTTTTTATACAACAAAATAGACCAAAAAAATCACGTTTTTTTGAAAAAAAATTTTAAAGCAGCGTAAAAAATTCAATTTTTAATATTTTCAAATAATCCTAGTTCCGGCGATAGCCACATCCTCACAGATTAAGATGCCTTTTGATTTGTCGATTTTAGTTTATTCAATTAGTCAGTATCGTGGACGCCGATAGACAGCGTTTTTATGATCATCATCACTTTCCAGTTTTATAATTCGGAATCAGTAAAATATTTTTCCTTGCAAAAATTTTAATTTGTTGTTAAAATGGAACTGAATATATGGTAAAAATTTTAAGTCCTAAGTTTTCATGGTTCTTAAAAAGAAAATCCCAAAAAAAAACTCTTAAAAAACGTCTGCCACACGGGGTGACCCCCTTAACTAAACTTCATATCTCAATCAAATATCTATAGGTATTATTTTTTAATAATTTTCCGAAAGTTCTTTGAGAAATCAATTATTTAAATACAAAAATTGCATTTTTTATAATTGAAACTGTCCATTTTTCTTTTTAAAGATATTAAGGTAGAATAATTTCGAAAAATTTTAATAACAAAATTCTTAATATTAATTTTTTAAAAATATTTTAAAATAATTTTTGAAAGACAATAGTTTTACAGTTATACAATTAAAAAATGTCCAAAAAATTGAAATTTGGTAATATCTTTTAAGAAATAATTGATATTTGGTAAAATTTTTGAAAAAAAATTGAAATTTGATAAAATCTTTGAAAAATAATTTAGTTTTTGAAAACTATAAAAAAAATCAAATTTTTAAAGTATTTTAATTACAATTCTCCAAAATTTTAATAAGTCTAAAAAAGTCAATTTAAAAAAATTTTAATTTAAAAAAATTATGATAAAACAATTCTAAGAATTAGTTTTTTATAAATATTTTAATGTAATTTTTCGAAAATACTTGAATTTATAAAATGAAGTTTTGTATATTTAAAAAAACTAATTAATTTTTAGAAGAATTTTATTTAAAATTTTGAATATGAATATTTTCTCCAAAATGTTTTTTTTTATTATTATAAACTTGAAATAATAATTGAATAATAAATTTAAATGATTTTTATACTCACATGTTTGCAATCTTAGAAAGAATTGACTTTTACTTTTTAAATCTCGGATAAAAATTCTGCTAGCAAATGACATTTTTGTATCCTTTAGAATATTAAATAATCACTGTAACAAATAGTAATGAAAATTTTAGTTGGCATTGAGAAATTAATAAATTATACATAAAATTTTATTAAAATTTCGTTATAATTTCGAGGTTATAAATACTGAAATACACACAATGTACATGGAGTAAATATATATAAATTAATTTTCTCTTACATATAAGGAATCGAACTTTATTGTCAATTGGACATTTACAATGTCATTTTAAATTTATTCTTCACGATCGAGTAAATGCAAGTACTCTAAGAATAAATTTATAATATTTTTTTTTGTAAAAAAGTTTATATTTTGTTTAATTTCACTTCCATCAGGGATGGGAAGTATGAATCGAATGAACTTATAAGTCATGAACCATCAACATTTTGATAGATGTGTCACGACTTTTTAAAACGTCTTCAAACCGGAAGCATTACGGCACGGTCTGAAGTTGAAATTCTAAGGCTGGAGTCCCATGGTAGCGTTTTGCGTTGCGTTTTGTAACTAGGCAATGAGTGCAAATAGAGCAAACCTATATCTGTATCTCTCTCACACTCATTGCCTAGTTACAAAACGCAACGCAAAACGCTACCATGGGACTCCAGCCTAAGGCTGGAGTCCCATGACAGCGTTTTGCGTTGCGTTTTGTAACTAGGCCATGAGTGTGAGAAAGATACAGATATAGGTTTTCTCTATTTGCACTCATTGCCTAGTTACAAAACGCAACGCAAAACGGTGCCATGGGACTTGACCCTAAGTTGGCGTAAAAACATCAAAGCGTAAAGGTGCCGTCCCATGTCGGCGTAAAAACGTCAAAGCGTCGGCGTTAAAGTATGAGAGTGAACGAGATAGAGATATAAGGTTGTTTCTTTCACTCTCATGCATTTACGTTTTGACGCCGACGCTTTGACGTTTTTACGCCGACGTGGGACGGCACCTTAAATTTATGAGAGGGAAATTCATATCACTATCTCGTTCACTCACATACTTTAAGGTTGAGTCCACAATAGCACCTTGAACGGAACGTAAACGGGTAAACGTAACGCAACTTAGGCTACGTCCACACAACTTTTGGAAAAACTATTCTTGTCTTTTTCTCTCCTATGACAGAGGTAGACATAAGTTTGTCTCACTCTACATTTTTCGATTTTGGAAAACGTAAGAAAATATAGAGTGAGACAAACTTATACCTCTGTCATAGGAGAGAGAAAGACAAGAATAGTTTTTTCAGAAGTCGTGTGAACGTACCCTTATAAATTTCATTGAAATATTTCAAGATGAATACACGTAAGTTTATAGAATTAGTAATTTGTTTCTAAAAAGTTTAAAATAAATAAAGAAATAATAATAATATAGTAAATAAATAAAAAATATTAATAATAATAAACCTTATTATGTCTAATTTAAATTTTCCCGCCAACTTATTTCAAATATTTCGAATTTTGCATGAAATATTTCACTAAAACAAAATTTCATGAAATTTTACATTCCATTTACACGGTGTAAATGCTCCATAACCTTTTTAGCTGACATGCGACCGCACCCTAATCATCAAGCAGCAGCCATATGTTTCTCATATATATGAAGCGGTGTGACAACACCTTTAGCCCTCCTGCTGTGCATTTATATGTAAAAAAATTAAGGAAAGATGTGATGATACCCTTATACTATATTTCTGTGATTTTTGCACATTAGTCACTTTATTTAAGACTTTTTTTTATTAATAACACATATATATGTATAATTTGTATAAATTCTTAAAAAAAAGTAAAGGATTTACACTCAGTTCTTTGTGCATAATTTTTTATTTTCCTATATGCTTTACATAAAATGGTTGCAAATTTTAAATTAGTGACAGTCGACAGTGAATTATTAGTTAACCTGTAAATTTATATTTAATTATTAAAATTATTATGAAGTCTGGAATTACAATGGAGCACAGAGGGTCTGTTCTTTTGAATGCAGAAGAGAACAAGCAAGTTTTTGAACTAATTGGAAATCGTTGTTTGGTAATATATTTACTTCATTTGTTTACAAAAGAGAAAAAAAAAGTTGTCATTATCTGTCTGAAATTGACCTACATTTTTGACATAAATACACGTGATGTCATTATCTTTTCACTTTTGATTTCTATAATTTTTTTTTTGGAAAAATTATTTTACTTTTTCAATTGTCTGTTTTTTTTATTATATTTTCATTTGGTTTTGGAAAGGAAACGAACTATAATTTTTGTCCACACTTTGAACAGTATAATATTTTATTGTATTTTGGTTAATAATAATTTTCTTTAGTATACATTATTTTTGTTGTAAGAATAGAAATAAGAAAGAAATATAATTAAAAATTTAACTTTTAAAATATAATCAGTTGGAAAAATTTTTTATCAGACTGGAAATTGCTTTATTATAATTTTTTTTATCAACGTATCCTTATCTAATGATTGTAGACAATTGTTATATTTTAATAAACTAACGTACATACGATAGTCGATAACGATAGTCGAATGTACAGTAAAAGCTAAATTATACTTGAAGTTGCTTCGAAATAATGGAATCAACAATAATTTTATTTTTTACACTTACAAAACAGTTCTTTTTAATATATTAAGCGGATTTTCCTTTTAATATTTTTTTAAGAGGGATTCCTTTTCTATTAAAAAGAAAAATTTTATCAGTAGTTTTATTTATTCGTATCATCAGTAATTCGTTAATTTATTTATTTAATTATAATAACAATTTATTTATTTGGTACTAAAATTTATAAAATATTTGAAATTAAATTAAATTTAAAATAAAATAATATAAGCCTGCAAATAATACATTGATAGGCAGGTAGAATATATGAAAATAAGAACTAAATTTCTTTCATCATAATTTCTATATATAACCTTTTATCAATTTTTTTAATTTTAAAAATTTATGAGAATTAGATTCTATATTTTTTAATAAATTACATTATAGTTTTCGAATATATAAATAATTATTATAATTATCCAAAATGTTTAGTATTTTATTTAAATTTTGTATATTGTTTATTTTATTAAATTTATTTAATTTTATTTATTATTATAATTAATCATTAAATTTATCCAATATTATTTTATAAATAAATAACCCCCACCTTGCCCTTGAAGCGCAACATAGTTAACGGACATTATGAAAAATACTTTAAGTAAAGACGATTATAATTTTTTCAGAACTAAAGATAGATGATTCATTAAAAAAATGTTGTTCTGAGTGTATTTCTAACATATATGTCAACAAATAAAGCTTTGCGCTTATAGATTAAAAATTTCTATCTTTAAATCAAACAGTTCCGCGAATTTGCCCATATACTATTGAATTAGTCATATTAATTCAATGTCAAGCAATTTTTCTTAAACTTTCGATGTCTTATTATGTATGTAATATAACTGGATCGTATAAAGATTCTACAACTAATAAATAACTTAAATGTCATTTTATAAAAAGGCATATAACAGATTTCAAAATAAACAGAAGCTTTTTTCTTCAAATTTGGTTCATATAATTTCTACCCCTATGAATATAAATTTCTGCAATTTTGAACTCGAAATTCGCTTTTTTACTGGAGTTATGGAGGGGGAAAAAATAAAAAAATTATAAATAAAACTTTGAGGTTACGACTACCGAGTAATAAAGTCAGAAAATTACATTAAAAATCAAAAAACTTATTTTTCTCGGAAACTGATGGATCGACTTTAACCCTTTAACGCCTGCTGGACATATATGTCCCACTTACAAAAACCACTGTAACTTTTTTAAATATTAATATTTTTTAATCGGGTTTGACTTGTTTTCTTCAGAATCGGTCAAGGTACAAAAAAAAAAAAATAAAAGTAAAATATAAAAAAAATTGTAATATAAAAAAATAATAAAAAGTTTATGCAAATAGGAAAAATTGTTTAAAAAGTCCGTTAGCTAATGTAAAGACGCTAATGTCAAAGAAAACTTTTTGAAGCACACTATCTAAAGTTTTTTGAACCAGTGAATACAACAATTATTGTCCCAATTTTGAAAAATTCGCAAAAATTTAAAAATGTCGTATTCGAGATTGCGCCTAAAACAAAGAAAAAATATCACATTACCCGAACAGTAGAAACATTAATAAAAAGTTACAGTTTTAATGAGAGGGATATTTAAAAATTTGTAAATCCGTTTTTCAGTGTTTAGCAACTGGTATAATTCAATTGTACCTGACAGAACCTCCAACACATAACGAGTGGCTGAAAAGAAATACTGGAGTATTAACATTAATAAGGGACAACCCAAAACGAAGTTTTTTCCTAAGATTATATTGCCTGCAAAGGAAAGCCATGCTTTGGGAACACGAAATCTACAATGCCATAGAATATAAAGCTCCTGCTCCATTTTTCCAAACATTTGAAGGAGAGGAGAGCATGATGGCCTTCAATTTTGCAAGTGAACACGACGCATTTGTTTTAAGGTACATTTAAGGTTTATTAAACTAAACTAACGAATTGACTTCACTTAACTCCGCTGAGGTCTCATTTTGAAGGGGTGAGCGAGAGTAACAAATACATATGGGGCATTCCATGCCAAGTCGGAAATCATTTTGCTTTTGCATCTCAAATTTTTTTTTAATATTTTTTTTTAGTACTTCTTGAAATTAGCTACCTTGATTTTTTTCAAATTATTTCATAAAGCGGTTCAGGAGATACAGATTTTTGAAAAGTGACGTTTTCTACGTAATTTTTTTTTAAATGCTTATAACTCGGTCAAAAATTGATCAAATTGGACGTTCTTATAATGAAAAGTTTTGTTTTCACACGTAGTATTTAATAAAAATGTTTTTAAAAAATTTTTAAATAATTTACGATAAGATTTAAAAATTTTTTAAATAAAATTTCATTTTTAACAATGTATGTATCGATCAATTTTTTTAAAAAAATTTTTGTAAGAAACTAGCACTAAATTAACAAGTTTTAAGCCTTGTCCGATTGTGGGCAAACGGTGGGATCTATTTATTTTGAAATTTTTAATTTTTATATACGCAGTGGTTGCCAAATGCCTATCTTGACATTTGACAAAATCACAAATTTTTCACAGCAAATGTGTTTTCAGACTGAGTCTCTCCAAACTTAGCCTTCTTTCTGTGCAAAATTGTGATTTGGTCAAATGGCAAGTTAGGCCTACCGTTTTCACTGTGTATATAAAAATTAAAAATTTCAAAATAAACAGATCACATCGTTTGCCCACGTTCGGACAAGGCTTAAAAATTGTTAATTTAGTGCTAGTTTCTTACGAAAAATTTTGAAAAAATTGATCGATACATACATTGTTAAAAATGAAATTTTATTTAAAAAATTTTTAAATCTTATCGTAAATTATTTTTAAATTTTTTAAAAATATTTTTATTAAAAACTACATGTGAAAACAATAATTTTCATTATAAAATCGTCCAATTTGATCAATTTTTGACCGAGTTATAAGCATCTAAAAAAATGTACGTAAAAAACGTCATTTTTCAAAAATCTGTATCTCCTGAACCGCTTTATGAAAAAATTTGAAAAAAATCAAGGTAGCTCATTTCAAAGAGTACTAAAAGAAAAAAAATGTTTAAAAAAAATTTGAGATGCAAAAGCAAAATCATTTCCGATTTGGCCCTGGAATACCCCATATGCATGTTATTTTCCAAAAAACTACCCTTTTCGAAACACAACCCTTCAAAAAACGCGAAAAATGACAAAAATTAAAAAAAGGTATAAATTTAAAAAAACATTTTTTTTTGGCTTTCACAGTAACATATTAAAAATATTGTAAACTTTTTAGAAAAAAATTAATAACAAAAATTTACCTCAGGGTAAAAAAAATTATTGAAAACTACCCCCCAAAAAAAAACAATTTAAAAATCTACCAAATTCGCCTAAAATTTGTTACTCGGGGGTTTTCGGGATCGCTGATTACGAATCCGCTGTCAGTTTTTAAAAATTCAAAATGGCGGAACCAATATGGCGACAGAAAATTATAAAAATTCACCAGATTCGCGTGAAACTTGTTACATTGAGTAGATGATAATATGACAATAATTAATGGATATTATTTTTTTGATTGTTGAAAACTAAAGTCAGTATCTAATAAGTTATAAATTAGGGGTGGGTTTCAAGGGTAGGTGATGTTATTATTATAATTATCCATATCTGTGGAACTTTGAAATACTATTTTACAATTCAGAAGCACTTAGAATCCATTTAATTTTTTTTATTCATTCACAAAAACTTTTATTATTAAGGGGTGGTTATTTGACTTTAGGGTTGTTTATATATTTAATATCAATACTTAGTTATTACAGAAATATTATATTTAAGATAATTTTAATAAAATTTCTCTAACTGGTTGAATTATTTTTAAAAATTGTAATAAAATTTTTCTAAACAATTCAGTTGTTCTCAAAAGTTTTTAATAAAATTCTTTGTAAACAATTATTTTCAAAATTTTTAATTAAAATGACATACTTAAAAAAATACATTATTTTTACGACATTAAATAAAATTATTTTTAAAAATATAATTATTTACAAAAATTATAATAAAATTGTTTAAAAGAATTTAATTTTCTATGAATAATTTTAGTATAATTTAATAGAAAAATTATTAACTACAATTAATAGAGGTGTGCAAAAAGCTCGAAAAGCCGAGCCGGGCCGCAATTTTTTCGAGTCGAGCCGAGCCCGAGCCGGGCTCGATGTATCGGGTACCCGAAATTTTCGAGTACCCGAAACATTCGGGTACCCGAATTCACTCGAGTACTCGAATATTTCGGGTACTCGAATGAATTCGGGTAACCGAAATTTTCGAGTACTCGATTTAATTCGAGCTTTTAAATTAAAAAAATTTTTTTTTTGAAAAAAAAAAATTTAATTAAAAATTAATGTAGAAAATTTTGGATTTTCTCAAGGGCTCGAATCAAATCGAGTACTCGAAAATTTCGAGTACCCGAAAGTTTCGGGTACCCGAAAAATTCGAGTACCCGAAATTATTCGAGCCTTTTATAAAGCTCGGCTCGGCCCGAGCTCGGCTCGAGCTCGAACTGAATAGGCTCGGCTCGGCTCGGCTCGAAAAATGAAAAGCTCGAAAATACCCGCTCGAGCTTCGGGTTTCGAGCTTTTTGCACACCTCTAACAATTAATAATAAACACGATTATTTTAAAAAATTATAAGAAATTCTTCATAAAATTCAATTACTTGCAAAATTTTCAGTAAAAATTATTAAAAAAGACTTCATTATTTTCAAGAATGTTGAAATAAATTCTTCAAAACAATTTAATTATTTTAAAGAATTTTAATAAAAATTTTGACAAGAATTAAATTATTTTCAATAAAATTTTAATTACATTTTCTCGAAAGAATTCAATTATTGGAAAAAATGTTGATAAAATTCTTGAAATGAATTCAATTATTGTTTTCCAATTTTTTTTATAAATACTTTACAAGAATTCAATGATTTTCAGTAAATCGACTATTTAATTATTTCTGAAAATAATTGGATTCTTGAATAAAATTTTATTAAAACTTTTTTAAATAATTGAATCCTTGTGTGAAAATTTATTATTTCAACAAAGAATTGAATTTTTGTAAAATTTAAAAAAATACTTGAATTTTTGAGAAGAATTTGATTGAAATTGTATTTAAAGAAATTGAACTCCTGTGAAAAATGTACTATTTATTGATATTATTGAATTCTTTCGAAGGATTTTAAAAAAATGTTTAAAAATAATTGAATTTTCCCTGGAATTCAATTAAAATTGTATTTAAAATAATTGTATTCCAGCAAAAATTTCATTATTTCTAAAAATAATGGAATTCCATCAAAAATTTTATTATTTCTAAAAATAATTGAATTCTTGAATTGAATTTTATTAAAAGTTTTTTAAATAATATTGAACTTCTGTGAAAAATTCAATTATTTTTTTAAATAATTGAATTTTCTCGGAGAATTTTTACAAGATTTTTAAATATAATTGAAATTTTCAAAGATAGCATTTAAAAATAGAATTGAAAATCAGTGAAATTCTAATAAGAATTTTATTTTTTAAATAAAAATAGTAATTGAATTTTTCATAAAATTCCATTATTTTCAAATTTTTTTTATAAATAGGTATTTTACAAGAATTCAATGATTTTCAGTAGATCGGTACAAAGCTCATGAGAAAAAAATACACTAATTGGATTATTTATTAACTATTAATGTGCAATTAAAAAAATTGAAATTTTCGTAAACTTTTGAATTTAAGGTATTAAAATAAATTTTAGGAATGCACTGGTTGGCATACTTGAAGCGAAACGACAGAAGAAGCAAAAACGTGCATTAAGGTCTTCAGAAGCAACGGATAGCACAAAATGTGAGCCACCAGTAGAGTTATCATCGTCGTCTGGAAACTTATTCAATGGTTCTCCTTTGACTACTTCTCTTAATAAAAGTATATCAAATAGTTCTGTATTCGAAAAAAAGAAAAAACATCGAGAAAACGAAAAGAAACGTAAATTAAGAAAAGAAGATATTGGCCTTCCTCACAATTTCAGGTAAAATATGTTTGCAAGTACCTTTTTATAAGAACTATAGATTTTTAGTTACGATTCCTTTCTTTAAGTTTAAGTAAATCTAACGTGATATTTTTAAATTTTATTCCAATTTCTCTTTACAGACATGTTACTCATGTCGGATGTAATGCTGACAGCAAGCATTTAGAACTGGAATCAATTGATCCCCAACTTAAAGAAGTATTTACCACCGCTGGTGTGTCTGATAATCAATTAAAAAATCCAAAAATGAGAGATTTCATTTATGATTTTATCGATAATCATGGTGGAGTGCAAGCATTCGTGAAAGAAAATGCTCTACTGAATGTTAAGAAAAGTGAAGTTCATGATTCTAAACCGCCAAACGCCTTAGAGCCTCCACCACCCGTACCTCCACGAACTACTTCTGCTGTTATGTTCTCGTCGTCTAATAACGTAAGAATTATGATATCAAACTTGATAATACTTCTATCATCTTTTTACTTTTAAAATTTACATAAAATTCATTTACTTTTATTACAGTATATGTGTTTTCTTTTCTTCAGGGCCAAACACGAACAGCTCCACCATTACCTCCGTCAAAAACATTATCTCCCGCTACACCAAATGCTCCACCAGTTCATAAAGTATTACCAATGCGTCCTCCTCCCCCCAACACAAATTCCGCTGCATTTTTCCAACCATCTCAACCACCGCCACCACCTCCTCCTCCACCATCTTTAAAAGATGCTACTGCTGCCTTTTCGATTCCACTGCCTCCTCCATTACCAATTTTCAACGATGTTGAAACTTCAACTGAAAGCAGTAGGAAAGTCGAAAATGAATCAAGTAGCACAAGAAATAATATCAGTCAAGGTGAAGATTGCCGATCGATGCTCATGGAATCTATAAGGAGTGGTACTACGCTCAAGGTTAGTTTTCACTACATTAAAAGCAACTTAGTGGTAAACTATTTGTTCCTTTATTTTTTATATTTTTTTCTTCCAAAACCTCACACAGAAAATGGTAAATATTTGCAGCTTGATAATTATTTTACCTTTTTTAACCCCCTTAAGGACGGGAAGGCCAGATTTTTTTTATCGAAGATTCAAGGTCACTGTTCTCTGTATTCACGTATGGCAAAAACAGTGTTGCCACAAAAATTTAATTTTGTTTTTCCTTAATTTACAGACAAAATTTTCACTTTTTCCCTGACCCTAAAGAATATTCTGCGATTCACTCTAAAAATAATTAGATACTAAAAAAAATGTTCTATTACATTTATTTACGAATTTCTTTGATTTTATAATTATTCGAAAGCAACAATAACTGTTTAAAAAAAAAAAATATTTAATCATTATTATTTTTCCATGGGAACTAAGATTTTCAAAATTTCTAATTCGAACCTTTTGAAATTCAATAATTTAGGTATAAGAATATTATTATAAAACATGAAGATATCGATCACTCAGAGTCTTCGACTCGAAGTGATCACTTTCTTCATGTTTTATAATAATATTGAGGAGTAATTTTTCAAAAGTTGATAAATCCATTTTTCAAAAAAATTGTGATAAATATATAATTATTTAAAATATTAAAATCCTTAGAAATCAATTTATCACTGTTCTATTTAAGAAAAAAATTTATTACTAAAGAATTTTCAATATAAAAAATATTTTGGCCTAACCTTGATGATTTTTAATTTTAATTTTTTTTAATAGAGAAAATTTTCAAAACTTTTAAATTCCCTTATTACAATAGACTTTAATTAGAAACAAAGCGTTTTAAATAGAAAAAATATTCAAAAATAAATAATTTATTACAATTTTTCTACATTAAACTTAATTTTAATGGTTATGTGAGAATTGTTATTTGTTTTTTCTCGAAATGACAAATATGGATTTATCAGGTTTTTAAAACGAGACGCATGATTATTTTCCAAATGTCATTTGACCGAACTGTCATTTTACCGAATTGTATGGCTTCGTCCATAAATTACGTCACACTTTTTAAGGGGGGAGGGGGTCTATAAAAATGTGACTAATTGTGACAAAGGGGGGACCTTTTATTTTGTTATGTCACACTTTATACTCTATTTGTTATAATGAGAAAATTGTAATAAATAAAAATATCAAATATATTTCTTGTTTTTAAAATATTAAAAAATGTACTAATTATATAAGTAACTTTATTTATGTAAAATTAGATATTGACAGTGAATCATTTTGGAAAAATTTTTTAAAGGGGGGTTTACGAATTGTGACGTAATTTAGAGGGAAGGGGTTCCTTCAGATGTCACGTAGTGTGACAAAGGGGAAGAGGGGGTCAAAAATGGGCTAAAAACGTGTGACGTAATTTATGGACGAAGCAGCTATTTATCCGAATTGTTATTTTAACAAAATGTCACTTTTGCGAATCGCCATTTTTACGAATTGACAATTTTAGTAAAAGTCATTTTTGCGAAATATCATTTTTACGAATTGTCATATTTACGAATCGTTATTGTTCCGAAATGTAATTTTTACGAATTGTCATTTTTGCGAATCGACATTCTTACGAATTGTCACATTTGCGAGAAGTCATCTTTGCGAATTGTCATTTTTTGAATTTTCATTTTTACAAACTGACACTGTTGCGAATTGTCATTTTTGCGAAAATTGACATAGTAAACTTGTATACATATATAGATTTACTACAGCAATTTTCGCAAAAATGACAATTCGCAACAGTGACAGTTTGTAAAAATGAAAATTCGAAAAATGACAATTTGCAAAAATGACTTTTCGCAAATGTGACAATTCGTAAAAATGCCGATTCGCAAAAATAACAAATTCGTAAAAATGACAATTCGAAAAAATTACATTTCGGAACAATAACGATTCGTAAATATGACAATTCGTAAAAATGATATTTCGGAAAATTGACTTTTCGCAAAAGTGTCAATTTGTAAAAATGGCGATTTGCAAAAGTGACACTTCGTTAAAATAACAGTTCGGTTAAATGCAATTTGGTAAAATGACATTTGGGGAATAATCATGCGCCTTAAAATTCATATTTTCAAAGATTTTAATTTGAAACCTTTACAAAATTCAATTATTTATAAAAATTTATTACTTTTGAAAATTGCAATTATCAGTAACTTCTCTAAAATTTAATTATTACCTAAAACTTTAACTGAAATTAATTTTGAAATTAATTTTTATTAGAAAATTCTACGAGAATTCAATTATACATAATTTTATCGACAAATTTTTAAATAATTGAATTTTTCGATGAATTTTAATAAAATTTTAAAAAATAATTACATTTTTCGAGGAATTTGATTAAAATTGTATTGAAAATAATTGAAATTCTACAATGAGTTTTATTATTTATGAAAATAATTAAATTATTGCGAAGAATTTTTAAAAAAGTTTCAAACAATTATGATTTTTAGCGAAAAAATTTATGCAAATTCTATTTTTCATAATTGAATTCATTTGAAATTTTCATTAGTTTAGAAAATAATTGAATATTCGAGTAGAACTTGGTCAAAATTGTTTTTAAATAATTGAATTCTATTGGAAAATTTTATTAAAATAATATGTACTAATTATTGAATTAAGAAAAATTTTTGAAAATAATTTAAATTTTGCCATGAATTTTATTAAAATTTTTGAAAATAATTGAATTCTTGTGATGAATATTGTTATTTGTGAAAATAATTGACTTCCTCTAAATGATTTTATTATTTATGTAAATAATTAAATACCCGAAAAGAATTTTAAAATTTATTAAAATAATTGAATTACTGCGAAGAATTTAATACCAAATTTTAAAACATTTGATTTTTTCGAAAAAAGTTTGCAAATTTTGTTTTAAATAATTGAATTCATGTAAAATTCTTCCTTTTTTTTAAAAATATAATTGAATTTTATTACTTTTGAAAATAATTAAATTCTTGTGATGAAAACTATTAGTTATGAAAATAATTGAATTTTGCAACGAATTTTATTAAAATTCCTGAAATTAGTTAAATTTTGTTGAAGAATTTTGCAATTCATTTATATTTAAATGATTAAAATGTTGACAATTTTTTTTAGATTTTTTGAAAATAATCGAATTTTTGCGAAGAATTTTATTAATTTTGAAAATAATTGAATTCTTGTCATGAATATAGTTATTTATAAAAATAATTGAATTTTACAATGAATTTTATAAAAAATTCCTGAATATAATTGAATTTCGGCGAAGAATTTTGCTATATTATAATAATTGAAATGTTGACGAGAATTTTTTTTTAATATTTCAAAATAATTGAATTTCTGGACGGAATTTTAATATTTGTTAAGATAGTCGAATTCTTTCAAAGAATTACGTTAAAATTTTTTAAATTGAAACTAATTTCAACAGAATTGAAATTAAAATTTTCCAAAAAAATACTTCATTAAATGATTTATAAGTAATAACTTTATGACAGTTCTTCAATAGAATTAAATTGTTTAAAATTATTTTTTTGTCTCTTATTATCATCGGAATGTTTTTGGTGTCGCTGATTACGAATCTGATCTCGGGTTTTTAAAAATTCAAAATGGCGGATCTAATATGGTGGACAAAGTTTTTAAAAATTCGCCGTAGTCACTTAAAACTCGTTACTTGGGGGTTTTTGGGGCCGCTGATTACGAATGTGAGGTCGGTTTTTCAAAATTAGAAATGACGGATCCAATAAGTCGAACAAAGTTTTAAAACAATCGGATTAGCAAGAAATTCATTACTCGAGGGATTTTGGGATCGCTGATAAGGAATCTGATATCCGTTTATCAAAATTCAAAAAGGCGGTTCCTTTTTGGCAAATGAATTTAAAAAAAATTTTTTAATTGCAAAAGAAATTATCAAAGTAAATTAAGGAAAATTAAACGAAAATAATTATCAATGTACATGTGATAATTAAGCTACTTTTTGGGAGTAGTCAACACAAGTAAACTTCGTATTAAATACATAATGTGTAATGTTTATTATAAATTTGTATAATTTTTGTCAACAGAAAGTCACTAGAGAAGAAGTAAAACCGAAAGTTCAACCAGATTCAAGGAACGATCTTTTGTCTCAAATTCGGCAAGGAATCGAGCTGAAGCCGGTTTCAAATGAACAAAAACGTTCAACTGTATCAGTTCCTCAAGATGGTTTAATAGGAGCACTTTCAAGAGCATTGGCGGAACGATCAAGAGCTATACACAGTGACAGCGATGACTCCTTTAGTGATTCTAGTGAAGAAGATGATTGGGATGATTAGCAATATAAAATTAAATTAGAGTAATTTATAGTCTTCCGTTCAAACTATACTTTCTTTTAACATAAAATGTACTTTAAAAGTTTAATGGGTATGTAGATCGTGCACAATTGTTGAAAATTGTAAATAATTTGACAAATGAAAAGAATAAATGAATGATGAAGTCTTTTCTAAAAAAAAAGTTGGTTGGCTATCGACATGTCGTTTTATTTATTTGTTACCGCCATTTTTTGGGGTTTATATACTGAAATTTTGTTCACCTACAATTTTGTCATCGGTTAAAAAAGTTCCTGTGAATTGTAATAGTCAGCAGTGAATTTAAACGATTTTTTTTAAACAAAAAACATTAAATATTGTATTATTAAATAATAATTTATGTTATGTTTTGGAATTTTTCATATTTTGTCACTTGAGTGAAAATACTTACTTAAAAAATAAAAAGTGATAATGTCATTTTACTAAGAACTTTTGGCTTTTGTTATTATTTTGTTATTTTGAGTAGCTTTTGCTTCTACAACCTTTGTGTGACTGACGTCTGGATTAACTGATTTGTGAATTTTTTTGTATTTATCTTATTAATTACAATTTAATAGAATTTTTTGACGAAAAAATTTTAAATAATTGAATTGTTTTGTGAAATTTGATGAAAATACTAGATATTAGAAATAATTGAATTTCGAATGTGTTTTGAAAATAATTGAATCGTTTTAAAGAATTTGATTATAGTTTTTGAGAATAGTTTTTTGATTTGATTATAGTTTTTGAGACTAGTTTTTTGATTTCTATTATTAGCGAATTTAAAGTAGTGAAAATTCTAAAAAAACAGAAATAGTAGCTTTTAGTGGCTGAAATCTAAAAAAAGTTCCCAAATAGTAGCATAACGTAAAAAAGTAGTAAATAGTAGGTTTTAGTAGATAGGTGCGAAGCTTGACGAGGGCCAGTCTGATTAATTATTTTTCAATTCTCGTTACTATTTCCTATGATTATTTTCTTTGTTGCACATAAACAAAATTATAATTGTTTAAGATAAAATTTGACATGTATGTAATTAGTAAGTCTTAGTGCTTTGAAATTATAAAAAAATATGTGTGATAACTGGTACATCTACTCTATATTATTAATGCCCTCGTTAAAGCATATGACATCAGTTTTTGAAGCGATATATTTGATCTAAATATAATTTTTAATTTTAAATTAAACATAAAAATTTTTATTCATCACACAATCAATATTCAATGTAAATAAATAAATATTTATTTATTTAAGTACTTACCTAATTCATTAATTAAAATTAATAATAATAATAACAAACTAATTTTGGCATAAACCTGAATAAATATAAACAATGGTGTTAGTAATTAATTAACGAAATAAATTGTAATAAATTTATAATTGAGGCTCTGGATCTTAAAAGTGTCTTTTTAAGATCCGCAGCCTCAATTATTCAATATTCAAGAAGTAGTTTTTTTAAAAAAATTCTAAAGCTACGAAACTTAAATTGATTGCTCCCTCTTGGTTTGAAGCTATAGGTAATTTTTACTGACTCGCGGTAACGTTTCATTGATTTTCTACCGACAGAGTTTTGACGAGGAAGAATGTTAAATATTCTCATTTCTCCCGTTCTAGGGCAGCACATACTCCAAAAAATCATTTAAGTTTTATGAAAAACAGTAAACTTATTAAATATTTTTGTCAGACATATTGGATCCGCCATTTTGAATTTTACAAATCTGACTTTAGATTTATAATCAGCGACCAAAAACCTCTTAAGTATTAATAACAGTACCTACTATTAATTAGATTAAACAGAAAATTCAATAAAGCATATCATATAATGCAATAGGATTAGTTGAGTAAAAATACATATAAAACAGAAAGGGGCAAATTTGGCCAAGTTTTGTTTATAGGGTTTTTTAAGGGACGCTTAATGATTAATTGAAAAAAAGAACTAAGCCAGATCTTACTGAACTCATAACTTTTTCAATTGCTTTTCAAAAAAAAATCCATATACTATTTTTTAAAAGTTTTTATTGACTTCATGATTTAATAGATCTTTTTCTTGTTAATATTATGAATGATAAAACATGGGAAAGTGTTCTATAGAACTCATCGTGAGAGGACTCCAATTTAGAGAATGAAAATACTATCAAATTGGGGCTTTTTATAGTATTTTTACGAGCGCGATGTATTTCTAATTTTAATTTGTTAGTTTTTAAAAATAAACAAAGGCTACATTTCATCAAACTGATGGAGAAGAATAAGATTGACCTTCAGGATAAAAAAATAAATAAACTTCCCGAAGCCCACAGATTAATGCTATGTATATCAAACACACTTAAAAAATAATTTAATTTCAGGATTTTCGTCAAATTCCAATAAAATTTATCTTTATCATTTTCTAAGTCCATATTATAAGAAAATAGTATTTTAATTTATAAAAATTTTTCTATTTTCAAAGTTTAAAACAAAAAGACGTCTTTCAGACATCTTTAAAGATAATTGGTTGCAACAAAATCCCTAGATCCAAAATTCAATCAAGAAATTCCAAAATTATATTCAAATCACAGTAATTCAAATCTCAAAGTCACATAGTTATAATAATATTGATATATAAGGGTAAAAATTAAAAAATCGTTGAAATATTGTCCTGAATAAATAATAATTTGGTTGTTTTCTAACAACAATTCATGATTTTAAATACAAACATCTTACAGAGTACAATTTTTTCTACAATATACCACGTTATTTAATTTAATTTTTTATTGATACAACAGGTACAAAATCGTAAAAATACTTCCAAAATGTCATCGTGTCCTGTGTTCCTCTATATATTTTTATAACATAATATTGTTATATTTATAACACTAAATGCGAAATTTAAAGAATTTTTAACGTGTCCCTTGATTTGACATTTTTTAATGTCATCATGTCCTCACACACATATTTACCGGTTTTCAAAAATTAAAAGTTGTATAAAACTATGAAATAAATGAAGTACGATATAAATTTGATAATACTTGAGCATAGAGAAATGTCAAAATAAATTTAAAAATCAGTAAAATGATATTTTGATAATAAGAGCACATCTTCGTCATCGCGTCCACAACTTTTTTAAAGGCGAACATTTTTAAATGGTAATTAACGCATAAAAAACTCTTTAGTATATGTATATTATTTGTGTAAATGTCCAATTAAAACTCAATTCAAGTTTTCGAATAATAAAAATAAAAATTCATGTTTATTATTTTTTGTCATCGTGTCCCGTCCGACATATCTTTTTTTTAAGAGTGAAGTCAGTCGTTATATTTTGACCCATAAACTATTAATTACATGGTTATTATTATTAAAATGAAAGAAAAGTTACTTTTAGTCACAAAATACATTTAAGTTTAGATTACAAAAAATACGTTTATTCTCAATGATTTTTCACGTCGACGAGTAAAAAATGATTTTGTTTATTTGTCTCTATAGGAAGACTTGTTAGCAACCAAAAAAATATGACAATCAGTTTTTAATTCCCGACAATAATAAAGTATTTTGTTATAACAAAAGGAATATTCTCTTGATCCTTGACGCTGACTATTGGAAGAGAAATTTAAATGCATAAAAGCACGAGAAATTTTTAAAAGACTGAATTGTAGACTCCAAAAAAATATAAAAAATTTTTTATGATGAAAGTTAGATCGCCAATACTCCTACAATACAATTGATTATCAAGTACATAGTATTAAAATTGAAACTTCAAAAGGAGAAGATGGCCAGTCTTAACTCCGAATTCCGAATTGACGCTGCAAATGTTTGGCGAAACCTTCCAAGAATAGGATGTGATTTGTGATATTAAAGAAATTGACATCAAGAATTGTACATGTCTGCAACTTGATTCTTTATTCGATTTTAGAAGAATGTAAATTGCTATAATAATATCTTTCTTTTCTGAGATGCATGCGGAGATAAAAATAATAACTATACGCAGTAAATTTTTACAAATTGAGATTTAATTTTAAAAAAAGATGGATTATAACAAGAAGATTGACATTATTAATTAGGATTATATATATGCCGATTGGAATAAAATTTCAAGTTATTAAGACATACGTTTTAATTCGTTAAAAAATCAATTTAAACTTTTGCGTTTATAAAGTTAAATCTTCATGCTTGGGCAAGACAGAAAGTTTGCAAACATAGAATACAGAGCTAGGGATGAAATCGTGGGAAGTTTTGCAGCCGTTGACGCCATCACTTTGTAACGTTGCGACGCCGCAATATCGAGTTTCCGCCCATTTATGTTCTCACCTCCAAATACTACGTATAATTTCGACAAACGTAAGCTCTTAAAAGCTCGTGGATTTTTGCATTGCGATATTTTATATTAAACCATACCACTATATGTGATAAAATACGCTCGCATTAGACTTTGATAACCATTAATATATATACGTATATTCTTAGGAATATCAACTTAATCTATTATAGAGGATAAGTTGATCTCAAAATATAATACTTACATTTTCAGGTCCATATTTCGAATGCTGAGTGAGATAAAAACATTTTTCAATTTTAAATTAAAATTTTGTTAAAAATCTTTAAAAATAGGCAAAATTTCAGAAATTTTTTTTAATTCTATACACTCTAAAAAATTTCGTTGTTAATTTACAACGTCGGACGTTGGAAATAATTTGCTTCACGTCCAACGTAGTAAGTTTACAAGCTGCTAGTACGTATTAAAAAATAATCTGAATGCAATTTAACACGCTGATTGTAAAATTGCATTCAAGTTATTATGTTTTAATACGTACTAGCAGCTTGTAAACTTACTACGTTGGTCGTGAAGCAAATTATTATTTCCAACGTCCGACGTTGTAAATTAACAACGAAATTTTTTAGAGTGTACTAAATTTCCAAGTTTTTCATACCCTTTTTTAAACTCCATAATTTTTCAGGATTTCCAGGCTCTGTGGAAACCATGAGATAATATTTTGAAGCGACTTACTGCAAACTTTCCAGACAATATATTCTAGCAAGTTTACACGGCAAACTTCCTGTGTATATGATATTTTAAGCTTCCAAAAATCATTTTGAATTTTTTAAATCTGACTTCAGATTCGTAATCAGCGACTCCGAAAACCCCTGAGTAACAAACTTTATGTAAATTTGAGCAATTTTGAAAAAATTTCCGCCATA